CTTTAAGAAGAGATTTAATTCAATGTCGTATTTGAAGATACCAATAAAAATTCTTTCAGCGGGGGTTGAGTTTTGGAGGCAATATCTGAGAACCATTCAGATTGCGGCAAGTCAGAGTGTATACAGGGGTAGGCCACCATGCAAGGCCAGTGTGGGGGGGGGGGGGGTAGGGGGGACAAGGAGCTGCCCAGGATGGTGGTGATGGGAAGATGAGGTGAGATCAGAAGACTAGAGAGCTTAACTCGTATCCGTAAAGTGTGATGAAGAAAGGGGCTATGAGAAGGAGGTCTTTAAGCATTGGGAAGCCAAGGTGTGGCGGATAGATAGACAGGGTGTACATATCTCTAAGACCCGAAAAGGGGTATTCACAGAGGAATGTAGCACCGCTATGGGGGCAGTATGAGCTGCTCGATAGTACTTGACAAGATTAGGTACCCCAAGCTGATGTAATTTTTAATGAAAGGGGGGTAAAGGTCCTCTTTAAAATCAGGATTTTTGTGTGTAGTGTTCCTTTTAGATAGCATTAAAAATGTCAGTGCAGAAAACCCATACTGATATGTTTTTATCTGTCTTTAGTAAAAGGTTTATCTCTGCACAGATATGCTTTTCTCCAGATTTCTTACCATTCTTTCCATGAAACTACCTTCCCTAATCCTCTGTCAATTTAATCTCTGGCTGAGAACGGTGCTATGTCAGTATAAAAGGAGAAGCTGAATCATCCAACTGAAAGGTGACTTTCCTGCCATTTCCATCATTAGGAGCATTGATCAGAGGTGAGCTATGACAAGTGCTGTATGGTGGGTGCGGCTGAATTATTCTCACAATGCGTTACAGCCTTTTTCTTACAATCCAATTTTCTTGCTTTGATTGTATCAAATGTTATATAATGTCATGCCACACCAAAGATATTAAAGCTGATGTCAGACGGGTGATTCTGCCACTACAGACAAGTTGCTAAAAGCAGAACTGCTTAAGAGGCTGTCTGTCCATACTTATGAAATCGCCAGTAATAGCTAGATGCAGAGAGATGTTGTTCTTTTGCAGGCCTGAATGCTGCTGGATCTCACATGCTAGCGATGGGTTGAAATTTCGCTGCCCCAGATCCAGGGGAGGCCATTCCAAAGGGATAAACAGGCAGCATCTTAGCAATCCTGCCAATGGCGATTTCGACAAATGACCAGCAACATGATCGCTATTGGCATTAGCCTAACAATTATATGCTGATGCTCTCTGTGAAGACTTCAGGTGCTCCATTATATTGCCTCCTCCCAGAGAGTTGGGCATACTGTATATCTTGTATCCATTTACCTTTTATGTTTACCTGTTTGTTAGCATAGCATAGCTGTTTTTTTCCTGCCCTGCTTACAATAACCCTTGTTTACTGTAGCTGTTCGCGTTTTATTTTTTGCTTTGTGCTGCCTAGTGTGTTTTATTATATTTGTGTATGCATTTTTTTTTTACAGTAAACTCATTTTGTTTGCCATTTTCAGACATAAACCTGTTAGGGGATCCTTATAATATAACTGTAACATAAGAGGCTGTCTGTCCATACTTATGGAATCGCTAGTAATAGCCAGATGCAGTGAGATGTTGTTCTTTTGCAGGCCTGAATGCTGCTGGATCTCACATGCTTCCTGAATAGTTAGTAGGGTATTGTGATGCTACTTTGCAATGCACCCAGGAGTTATAAGCCTACTATTAAGATAAGGTGAAGTCCAGTTTGCGTGAACACAAATGAGCAAAAAGCAACATTTTCAATAGTTTGCGATCACTAAAAGTTTACATGATGCTCATGCTGTAAACGCAAATGTGACATCACTTCCTCTGTGTGTGCAAAGGAACATGTACCAGGGTTGGAAGCGTAAGAGCTGAATTGACCATAGCTGTCACTAACAGCCAGTGATTCTGGCGCTGAAACTGACAGGGACCCAATAGAGCCACTTAGTCCAGGCACCATGTTAAAATTGCTTTGGACATCCAACTTCTGAAGGTAAATAATGATTTCAATGCAGTTTCACAGCTGCTACTGTGTCTACAGACTGTGCGAGAGCTGCAACAGGAAAGAAAGAAATAAAGAGCATGCAATAGGTACTGTCAGATAAAAAAGCAAGATGAATGGGTACCTTTGAAAGAGACAGAGATATTGTATTGAGCCCCTGAGAGCTCCTTCTAGCGGCCAATATACAAATTCGATAACAAATACAATACAATACCAAATTAAATATAATAAATTAAATACAATTAAATTAATTTAATACCAAATATATAAAAAAGCAAGCTTGTATAAATGTGAATGTCACATGAAAATTGTAGGTAAAACATGCAATAATAATCCAAAATTATAACTCAATAAAAAGACACTATACTTATAAATTTAATTAATATGACTACAGTAAATTCAGCTGGTTAGCATGTGTCATAATAAGAGCACATTGTCCCAGCTGTTAATTTTATAAACCAGCAAGTACCAATACATTGTTTGGATAAGTTATGTAGCATTTCCAAGGCATTTCTTAATTTTAAATGAAAATTCGCCATCATCATTTTTAATTGGTTCTAAACACCACGATGACACTGAATTAAACATGTTCAATAAGAGCATATAATTGCTTTGACTAGTAATGCCAATAATTACCTTTTACAGGAAGCACATAATAAAGTCTGAGCTGTATTAATTTAGTGTGATATCCAGTTAAATGTTTTTCTAGCCTGGCATTTACTTGCTACTTAAGTTTAATCTACCAGAAATTTAAAAAATTTGTAATTTGTGGCTAATGATGGATAGAGAACATGAGCAACTCACTAAAGAAATACGCATAGTGTTCTCCTTCTTGTGTGTAGGTGAAGACTAAAGGCTGCTGATCACCCACATGTCCTTTACACCATCTACACAGATAACTGATATAACTATCATCTTAAAAGTTAGACCAGAAGTAAAGAAAAAAGAAGATGAGGTGTTACATAAATGGTGAATGACCGAACAACCACCAATCAGGTAGAGCTGCAGAGGCAGGAACTGCTGGGCTGTTTAAACGTTATTCCTGAGAAGTCAATTGAGATAGTAGTTGTCCAACCTTCCCACCCTTTTTAATTACAGCAATAAGATTGAGGGCAGGACCATCGTCGTGGCAGCTTGGCTGGTCAGGGAGTGTTTGGGGTTCTACGAATAAGTTGGCTTTGCTATGAAAAGGGGGCCCATTTGGTGGTATGCAGCTTCCCTCTAGTTGGTTGTTTATGTTTCTACCAAGGGTTTGGTCCTTTGCAGGAAGAGTGCAAGTTTGGAACTGTCCTTAAGTTGGGGGAGTGAGTCCTCATCAACTAATTAGACAAGTGGACATCCAAAGACCCCTAATGCACCTGCTAGTGATTGGCCAGAGAGACATATATTCATAACCCAACATTGTTGGATGTTCTGGCTCTGTTACCAGAGTCACACCTAACAGCAGACAGAATCAAACAATATCATAGGGCTTAGGGGAAACCAAATGAGCTTAGAACTATTAATCAGCTTAGACTGGTTACAGTCCAGCAGAATTACATTATATTATAAAAATATAATTGTTGCTAATAAAGGGCAGAGCCAGCTATGCCCGCCCCCTCCCCTGTCCGTTCCTCCAGTCATCGCTATTGAAATGGAGAGGGTAGGGGGGGAACCCTGCGGGGAGCGGTGACTGACAGTCACCGCTTTCTGCAGGGAGAAGATCAGGGAGTCAGCGATCGGCGGTATGCGTTCGATGACTTCCCGATCAATAGAGCCAAGCTGTGACAGATTCAGTGTCACGGGTCGGCATGGAATTATGGGGATGAGTGTTTTTCACTCACCCCATAATTCTCCTTTAATACTAGTTTTAGTTCTATTTTTCTTGTTGGGGTCCCTGCTGAATATTTCTCTCTTTTCCTGTCCCAGAGACATTGCTCACCCAGACGAGAAATTAACAAAGGCCTCCACAAAGAGACAAACAAAACGGGAACATTTACATTGCTGAAATATATGCATAATCCAACAAAAAGGATTTATAATATTGTCAGTAGTATCAAATGGAAAGAAACATATTTTCTGATGACACTATTATTGTATTATAACAATTCTTCTTTGTGAAGTTGCCTCTTTTAGTGTCTGCCCCAAGTTCTATAAACCATACTGGTTGGGAAAGGATCATTTTTAGGTTGCCTAAAATAAAATATATGCATTGTGAAGCTGGAAAAAACGACTTTATGCAGAGTATTAAACACAAAGTATAGAAGAGGCAACTGTACAGAGATGTATCATTAAAAATTGTGAGGTATAGTGCTTCAGGAAATATATTTCTGCTGAATCCCAAAAGCTTTCCTCTTCAATAACTTAAATTAGCCAATAAAGGGTGCGATGGGGGTCCGATACACATCATGTACCCCGGCCTATGGGAGGTATGTGGCTCGTTGCCAATGAGGCATCCAGACCTCAGGCAAGAGTGTAGAATCTAGGAGTATTATGAGGAGCGTGGAGGAGTGATGGGACTGTAGTTCCCCAGCAGGGTTCACAATACCAGGTCTTGTGTGCTTATTAGACTTCCCAATCCCTCGGTAAGGCAGTAAACTGAAGTGAGCAGGCAGCTAGGTGCCATTCACTAGGATACCTAGCGTTTTATCCAATGATATATGTATATTACAGTAGTATACAGCAAGCACAGAGTTATGCTATTCAGGAAGTTATTCCACAGTTTCCAACAATGCAGTCATTCAGTTTCTACTAGTAGACACAATCCTATCAATTAGCAATGGCAGATATATTGTTGGAAGCAGCAACTAACGGGATGGGGTAGATCGCCTAGTACTTGCGGTTTTGGTGTCTCGAGACTGGGAAGAATTAGCCTGATTAAGGATGGACGGAGGCAGCCGCAGTTTATGGTTCTGTGGCTGGGTCGCCCAATCTGTAATGCTAGAGCTTGCTAGAGCAGGGTTGTAACACAGAGTCCTCGCTCGACGTTCCACAACGATAGAAAGCCGAGTGAGTGACTCACCTGTGATTTTGAGGCACCGCAGCCAGTGGGAGGAGTCCGGCTTCATGTCACGGATGAGGTCTGGACCGGGTAAGTCTATGACAGCTATTGTGACCAGGAAGTGCAGGGGGTGCATTGTTTTAATATTTATTTGCACAGTGTACATTTTCACATTCTGTTGACTGCATATTGTTTCCTTTTAGATCTTAGGGACACTTTACAAAAGTTACTATTTAAAACCTATCTGTAAAAAATAAGTCAAGGCAACTGGACTTACTGTACTTTTCTTGAAAACGTTTCACTGGTCGTCCAACCAGCTTTCTCAATTCAGAATGACTGGGAATAAATATGGTGAATGTTGCTCCAACACACATAAACAGTTAATCACAACCAGGTGCTGAATGTATTTGCATAATTGGAGCTAGGTGCTGAATTTATTTGCATAATTGCAGCTAGGTGGTGTTATTAACCTGCCCAGAGAGAGGTGTTAAAACAGCATTGTATGTGGCAGACAATAGATGTCTCACCCTGTCTGGGCCACGTACTTGAAGAAGAAGAAATGACCTTTTTTCCTTTAGCTACATCTTTAGGTGTTCCTTTAGGTACACTGCTGAATCCTGACCCGAGGGTTTGGCTCTTCTTTGCTGTGCCATATGCTGGTGTAGCTGCTGTTTTTATTCACCAACATACAATTCTGAGCATTCCTCACTGCACTGGACTGTATACACAATGTTGTTCATCTTGCGTTTTGGCGTTGGGTCTTTTGGGTGAACCAGTTGTTGCCTCAGTGTATTGTTGGGTTTAAAGCAGACAGGGATGTGATGTTTTTTTAAAAACCTTCTGAGTTTCTCAGACACCCCAGCTACATATGGGATGACCACATTCTTCCATTTGTCATGCTTTTCACCCTCATTGGTACTCTTGGCATTCTTTCCTCTTCTTTCTGTTTTGACAAAAGCCCAGTCTGGATACCCGCAAGTTTTAAGGGCCCCTCCTAGGTGTTTGAATTCCTTCGCCTTGGCCTCTGTTCTGGTGGGAATTTTCTCTGCCCGGTGGTGTAGAGACCTGATCACTCCCAGTTTATGGTCTAAAGGTTGGTGGGAAAAACCAACACACATGGACCAGTACCTGCTTTTTGATTCCCACCACCCTCTAGACCACAAACCGGGAAGCCTGAAGAAGCGTAAACATGTTCCCGGCAGTGTGTTTGAAGACCTGTGTATGACATACGTTGGTGGCAAAGAATTGGTTAACGGCATTTGAATTACGTTGTTGAGTTTTTCTACATTCCGACCCCTTTCCAATCATTGTGATGAGTATTATTTTTTTCTTGTAGAGTCGAGGCAATGAAATATTTGTGGCTTCTGTGGTGGAGTTGCCTATCATTGTCTGCACACAGCAGTCCCGGTGTAGTGATGAGAGTCACTCAGAAATGGCTGAATTACAGTAAGTCACTTTACAAGATTAGTTGGTTTTATTGTATCCAAATAATCTTTTCTTGGATATTAACACAATCTTGTGTCTCCAGTACGTTCTGAGGGAATAGAAGTGTTCCGTCACATTCTCCTCTATGATCGTCTTCCAGACATAAATGGTTCTACACGTGCGTTTGGCAAAGTGGAATATGCAATCTCCAAGTAAGCAATTTACATAAAGCACTTGAAAATGTGTATGTAAACTCCAACATTCACCATGGCTTTGTGGGGTCTCACCACGGCTCTCTGGGGACCTTCCAGGGCTCTGAGGGGGGTCTCACCAGGGTAGCAGGGCTCTGTGAGGTCTAACCAGGGCTCTGTGGGGTCTAACCAACTTTGTTAGACCCCACAGACAGCTGTTGAGACCCCACAGAGCCCTAGTTAAACCAGGTCTCTCTAGTGTCTCCACAGGGCTCTCTAGTGTCTCCACAATCTCTCGTTCACTTATTATAAAATGCTCATTCACATTACCTAAAAAAGCACCCTTGGCACTGCACATTCATTAAATACATATTTTGGCCTCAGTGTCTTTAGTGCACCAGCTTTAATATTGTTTACTCATATCTCCCTCCCATTGTAGATTTTACATGATACATATTTAATTTTTATTTTAGCTGCCTTGTAGACATTGTCCACACATCCGATGCACTCATGGACCAGGAGACTCACCGGCCCAAGTGATTCCGTTCACGGACATCGACGTCACCGGACTCCTCCCTCCTTCCCTTCGTTTGCCGACAGAGCCAATCGGGGTGGGGGGGAGGAGTCCGTGACGTCACTGGATCTCTGACGGAAGACCCGGAAGCCGGTGGAGAGGTGAGTTCCAGACAAAATAATTTTGATCGATCAAAAAAATTAACGATTAATCGAGGAATTAATCGTTAATCTCCGCAGCCCTAATTTTTTTATAACTGTTCAGTAAAAAAAAATCCTTCTGGAAATCGAATGAGCTTCTAACTTCCTGTAGTAAGCTGGTAATGCTGCACTGAAATCTCAAAACTGTTATTAGTGCTACCTAAGTTATCTCTCTGAACTACAGATCCCCACCCCTCACTGTATGAAGATGAACAGAGAAAGAGGTGTTCTGTGGTCTTAAAGTGGAAGGAAAGGCTAAAAAAATCCACTTTGAAAACATTATTTCCCCATTACCTTTACGCTTGCTGAATAAAGTTTGTAAGACATCTCTAAGGCCATTTACACCTACTGATGTGTGAATACACACGAACGTATATGCACATTTGTGCGCATTCACATGCATTTTTGCAACGGTTGTTGTTCATCAGCCCATTCAATCAATGTGACACATACACGTGCAGGAAAAAACGTGTTTCACAGACCAAGTTCGGGGTGCTATTAACAAGTAATGGCAAATGTGTTGCATGTTTTGAATGCGTAGTGTGAATGCACAGCAAGACGCGCATTCATGCAACACCAAGGTGTGAACGGAGACTTTAAAAAAAAATCTGTTTCCAAGCAGTCACAAGACCTCACATCTCTAGTGGGGGTGTCCATCTCTGCCTCCGATGACACCAAGAGCAAAGGATGTGGTGGGTAACATCATTGCTCTTGGAATTCAGTGTTGTTGTTGACCCTGCACAGAAGAAGACATATGTCGGAGTTGTGCGGTCATGTGACTGAATGGAAACAGGTGAGAAAAAGGTATTTGTTATGTTTAAATAAATTACTTTAGCCATTCACACACTTTTACACACTTCCTGCCCCAGAGTGACAATGCTGATCCTCCATATATACAGTACAGTGAGTTAATGTTGTCACCTTAGGACAGAAAGTGTGTTACTGGCAGGATCACCAGGTGAAAATAAATACATGCAGGTACCACATCTGACAAATGATATATCGCAATATATTACATTTGTCTTTAAGAAGTCTACCATCTTCATATTCAGATATATGGGCATTAACATTAGTAAACAATGACTACTTCTGCTTTACTCCTTACAGAATTACTGTTGAAGAATTTAATATAACCCATTGCACAGCAGTTCCTGTTCCACCCACAGATGTTGATGTCATTGTTGAAGGTGCGATGACCAAAGTACATGGCGAATGGAAAGTGCGGCACTGGTTGATGTAGGTTGTCAACAATCATGTTCAAGCAAGCAGTTGTCTGCAGACCTAACCAAGCATTCAATAATTTGGTTGAGTGGCCAGTAGTAAAGCCACTATTCTCGCTAAAGGTTATGAGCATCGGGCAGCAAATGAAAGAACCAAGAAACCAGTACATGTGGAAGAAAGCTGAGGGATCCAAATGTAACCCTACAGCCAATGCTTATTTAAAAGGGAATGTGTCAGCCATATTCAACTTTTGAGAAAGGAAATCCTGTCTAAATGCAGGAATCATAAGATTTCAGCAATGACCTGCCACAATCACTAAATCCTGCACTGTGTGCCTCTCTGATTTTAGTATTACTGTTTCCAGGAACCTCATTTTACTAAATATTCTCCATAAACCGCCATACCTGTCTATGCCAGGGCTACTTTAAGATAACTGACAACCATGGTGAGCCAGGCTGTCTACTGACTCTCTCTTACTACTAGCTACTATTATATGCTAAGAAGCTCCTATTTATTTTAGAAAATTCCATTTGGGGGATGGAGGGTCATGTGACCATCTCCCAGGATTCAGTGCTTGGGAACAAGTGGCCAATCTCCGGGCCCACATGCTGTCCCATAAGGAGAAGACGTTAACCCTGTGTAAGCATTGACACCATCCAACAAAAATCTTGCACAGGTTTTGGATTTATGGAAGTGATAAAGAAATTGAATGGCAGTGGAGCACAGCGAAGGTGAGTATCAGTGGGTGGGGGGTTCATCTTATAAGAAAATGTTACTTTTCCCTGAATGGAAAGTGACAATGTATGTTAAAATTAATGATTTTCTGTCTCAAATGTCACTTATTAAAGACATACCTCCTGATACCTATTTTTAGAGGACAGTATGGCAACTTGCTGATTTGACAATATCCAAAAGGTAGTGTCAGCTTACCAAGAAGACTCAGAAGTGAAAGCCAATGTACTTTCATCCCATGTAAAGTCAGCCTGGAAAATTCTGTTTATTTCTTGCAGGTGACAAGACAACTAACTCTCTAAAATCACTTCTTGAACAGCAATGGTGAAACCAATACCAACACTGAACATGGAAAGTGTCTGTTCTAATTTACACAAAATAGCTTTTTTGTAAGCTGTTGGGCTTCTGAAATAGAAAGTGCAGGGACATTTCCCCAATGATACAGAGACAGCAAAAAAAACTTTAAAAATTATCTCTGTATTTCTAAATTGATACATTTTTTGACAGAAATGACTACGGGACATTTAACCTTGCACTTTCGGAAGTATCTTTAGCGGTAAAGTTGTCAACTTTCAAAGACTCGTCTGGAGGTCCATCTGTGTCTCTTTCTGCTTGTCATTCAGAAATAACAAAGGCCAAGCTGCACCTGTCTGGAGGTGCAAGGTATGAAAGCATAATCTAAAGATAACTGTTCTGTCACTTCCGCTTCTCAATGTCAGGAAAATCTATGTCTCACCTTTCAGATAAGACTTAAAGTGACATTAAACCCTCAGATTTTTTAACATAAACCAATACTGTAATGTGTGCCTTAATCCATGGTTGTTTCCCTTCTCTTTGCTGCTCTTCCTTTTAA